GCTAAAAAAAAACAACAAAATTATTATTATATTAATTACTTACGGAATTCTGAGAGGTTTGGTTATCCATAAAAACAAATAACTAATTTTGAATAAAAAAGATGAGTTAAAAAAGGAATATAATACTTTTTAAATAAATAGTTTGATAAAATATTTTGCAATAATTTTTTTTTGTATGTATTTATGATTCATTAGCAGTAGCTATTATGTAATAAAAAAAATTATAATTATGATCGATGTAAAATATAACGATTTCTTTCTAAAATTAACTGAAAAATAGGCGCGGAAAAAAATATTTTTTGTATTAAATAATCAACAACTACATATATACAGAGAGAGAGAGAGAGACACACACAAATAAGAACTTTTTGTTGATCGAAATAACATAGAATTAAATGTAAAATTTATAAGTATAAAAAAAAAAGGAAAATATATAAGAAGATATATCAAAAGATAGTTAAAAAAAAAAAAGAATCAAACTAATCAATTTGACATTAAAAATTGGGCTGAAGTAACGGTATATTTAATTTAACATTGTGCTAGGAAAATGACAAATATGGTGGATTTATGTAAAATAAGAAAAAAAAAAAATAACAATATATGTTTGTAAGTGAAAATGAAGGGAAAACAAACATCTATATTTATACCTATATAACAAGAATAATCATTTACTAAAAATAGTAATAAAAAGTTCTAGGAAAATTTAATGCGTACCTTTTCTAAAACTTTTTAATTATATACATTTATTGTTTCTATATACACGTTTTCAAATTAGATGAAATCAGGTATGATAAAAAATTATTGTTTCCTTAAAATAATTTTATTAGTATATGCAATAATTTCATTGATATCCATTATAATAAAATACAAGATTGATTTTCTGTGATTCGTGTTGATAATATTTTGATCAAGATAAATAATATTACAACATATTTTAAAGCTTTAACTATAATATTATTTTTTTTTTTCACAAAGATTTACTTTTATCTAAAAATATTTATAGAAAATAGTAACAGGTTAGGTAGATTTTTTTTTTTCCAATTAATCAGACGAAACTAAGTTGGTATATTAATCTTTGCCAATATATTTTTTTCTTAAACTTTATTTTATTATATTTAAAAATAAATTATTATTCAAATTAATATAATTTACCATTTAAGAAAATAATGACTAGATATATTAAATAGTTTTACTAATGGTCAAAAAATTAAAATTAAAATATATTAACTATTCTAGCATTTACTTGTATATTATTGACAACCATGATTATTCTTTTTATCATTTTTTTTCTTTTGATTTCTTTCTATAATAAAATTCTTGAAAAATTTATTTTCATTGTAGAGTATTTTAAATAAACTATAAATCCTTATAATGCAAATTATAAAAATCCTGATTATAGATGGGATTGAACTTTTGGCATTTGCTAAATCAAAGTTGTATATTTAGTATGCAAAACTAAATACTAAAAATAAACATGTGTGTACCTTTGGTAAAATATTTATTCACTATTTAAGTTTGAATTTATTTGCATATTTTAAATTGATTATATAAATAAATAATACTAATGTGCATTATATTTTTCATTAACTCGCTCCCTTTCTTCTCCGCGCCCCCAAATCACCGTAACCCTAGTCTACGCCGCTGGTCCCTTTCTGCTCGCTTTCCCCGGGGAAACACCGGCCTCTTGCCGGCGGATGGTCCTAAGCAGCACCCGAAGGCCCGATTTTATGACATCTCCTTTGTTTCGCGCTAGCCGGGGATGAGATTGGTTCATCGACCATGTGTGCAAGTCGCCGTTCGTGAGGTTCTCGGCTTCGTAGGTGGATTTTCGTAGATCTTTGGTCGTTTCAGTCAATGCACGACTGTTGACGTCGGGTTCGAAGGTTCCACTTCCAATGGGGGTCCATTTATCGGCTCCAACGGTGCATTCCCAAGCGTCATTCTGTCGGCTCCGCCTCCGTGTGGTGGTCGACGATGGGCTCGACGGATTCTCCTCCGATCGGGGCCCGATTGCTGAGGATGGTGTGTCGTTAGGGTGTTGGGTGCGGTCCTGGTGTCTCGGCTCTTCTGAGTCGCGGCGGCCGGGGGCTGAGGTGGATCTATTCTCGCTTCTGGGTCCCTATTCCGCTGGTGTTGTGGCTTTGGGATACCGACACGCCCAGATCTTAGCCAGTGGTGTTGGCCGGGTTCCAGGTAGTTGGTGTGTGGGGGGCTGATAGATACTCCTCTGGCTGTGGGTCGACTTCCTCTTTGGAGTGGTTCGAGGTTCGGGACTCGTCCTTTGCTAAGCATTATGCAGTGGCGGGATTGGCGTTTTCGAATTTAGGGTCAAACCGTGGTATGGATAGTCTTCATTTCGCTGGTGCTTTGTGCTGAGTTTGGCTTACCCGCTGGGAAGGGCTGTTAGTTGGTAGATTAGGTTTATTTGTCTTAGTTTGTTTTTGTGCTGGTGCTTGTATTGTCTAGGTTGTGTTTTTGGTCTGGGTCATTTGGCCTCTGTGAGCCCGAGTGTCATCTTATTATCCTGTTGGGATCGAACAGTCGGACATTACCTTGTTGGGGTCTTTTGTGTGTTGTTTTCTAATTTTGTTTTTGTGTCCCCGAGTATTACCACGTTGTGGTCGGTTCTAGGCGGTCTACTGACATGTCCTCCCACTTTTTCAGCCGTTGGCTGCTTGTATTTAGTTGTTAGCTGCATGTATTCAGCTGGTGACTGTCCTTTTGCACATTTGTGTGCGTTTTATAAAAATTTCTATCGTTTCGAAAAAAAATATATTTTTATTACATAAAATAAAAAGGAAAAAAAAGACGTACAACTTCTATAATTTTTATTAATAATAATGATATTGTATGTCGACAAAGTTATAATAAAATAATAATTAAGCATTATACGGTAAACAATAGTAAGTAAAACTGTTATTTTCTTTTATATCAAGGAATATATATACTAAAATCAAATTTATATTAGTATAAATGTGTTTGCGAGATAATATGTTAATTATTTTTACAAGCTACCACTAACATGCTCATATTTAATGTCATGGCTAAAAATACAACGCTAATTAAAAGACGTGGAAAATAGATTATGACTCTATTGTTTTTTAAACTTTAACACTGATTAAAAAAGACAGAAAATAGATGATAATCCTATTGCTTTTTTAGACTTAGACGAGAAGAATTTGAAAATAATTTATTTAAAATATCTGTCGACGCACGAAATACGTACAAGGGCCTTGTTTGGCGATCAGCGGATAGCGGATAGCGGATAGCGGATAACAGATTGTATTAGCGGATAGCGGATAGCGGATTTTATTAGCTGATTTGACTAGCGGATTGCATTAGCGGTTTTTAAATAAGTGTTTGGTAAATAGCTGAAAGCTTATAGCTGTTTGACATTGCAAATTACCAATAAAGACATTAGACATTTTATTATTTAGGGTGTATTCTTTTAATAATAATATATTAAAGCATTTAATATTTTTTAGTTGGTAATTTATAAATATATATTTTAAAAATAAAATTACTAACAATTGGTTAAGAAGTTATGAATTTTACATTTTTCTAGATAAATTAATCATATGAATGACATATTAATATTTGTTAGCATCATAAACCAATGTAGATTGTAAAATAAATAATACAAATTAAAAAGTTTTAAATTAAAATTGTAGATTGTGAATCCTCTATCCCCAAAAAGCTACTCTAATGAGCTTTTTCTAAATTAGAGTTTTGGGCCTAAAAAGCTTATCAAATAAGCTATTTACCAAACAAGCTCAATAGCGGATTTGACGGGTCAAACCTCTCAATTAAGTCCAATCCGCTAATTTATCCTCAATCCGCTATCTTCCAAACGGGGCAAAGGCCTTGTTTGGCGATCAGCGGATAGCGGATTGTATTAGCGGATAGCGGATAGCGGATTATATTAGCTGATTTGACCAGCGGATTGCATTAGCGGTTTTTAAATAAGTGTTTGGTAAATAGCTGAAAGCTTATAGATGTTTGACATTGCAAATTACCAATAAGGACATTTTATTATTTAGTATGTATTCTTTTAATAATAATATATTAAAACATTTAATATTCTTTAGTTGGTAATTTATAAATATTTTTTTTTTGAAATTTACTAACACTTGATTAAGAAGTTATGAATTTTACATTTTTCTAGATAAATTAATCATATGGATGACATATTATTGTTTATTAGCACTATAAACCAATGTAGATTGTAAAATAAATAATACAAATTAAAAAGTTTCAAATTAAAATAGTAGATTGTGAATCCTCTATCCCCAAAAAGCTCCTCTAATGAGCTTTTTCTAAATTAGAGTTTTGAGTCCAAAAAGCTTATCAAATAAGCTATTTACCAAACATGCTCAATAGCGGATTTGACGGGTCAAACCTCTCAATTAAGTTCAATCCGCTAATTTGCATTCAATCCGCTATCTTCCAAACGGGGCCAAAGTAGTTTCATTAGAAAGTTTGCCTACAATTAAAGATTTATTTGAAAATTGTACCAAAAAAAAAAAAGATTTATTTGAAAAAATCTAATAATCAATTTAAAACTTATATGGATTTGAGTAGGTAATACATAATTGAAACACAAATCCATAAATTAATTTGTTTTTATTATTATTATTATTATTATTATTATTATACTTTGTGATACGATATAATAGCTAGTGTACTATTTCCAGTCAATCATAAAGGCAAAAAAAAAGAGCGGAAAAATAGAATACATGCTTAAAGATAGGCAAAAATCGAGTGAGACAAGGAAAATTTCTTGGTAAAATTCGGGATACGATTTTTTTTCCTTTCTTTGAATGCGGCAACCTGACACTACTACTCGATAGGATTTAATCCAACCAGGGTTAACTCTCATCCCCCTCCATGGTTAAAGTTGCCTATAAATAAGCCTCTCCAGCACTCGCCATTCATCATCACCATTCTTTTCTCATTCATCTTCACCAGGCAACTATACTGTATCTCCGATTATTACTGAGATGGCGGCCAACGGCAACGGGCGCGTCGGAGGGACGGGAAGGCACGGGCTGCCCAAGATTCATACGGAGAAGAAGGACCACGAAATCTGCATCGACGACAGCACCCCACCTGTTAGAGCCCAGACTATCGACGAGCTCCACTCTCTTCAGAAGAAGAAATCAGCGCCTTCTACGCCCATTAAAGGGATTCCCGGCGCTACTCTAGAGGAGGAGCGCAGCAAGCAGCAGCTCCAGTCTATCAGGTACTTAGTTTTTTTTTTTTTTTGGTTATATTGTGGAGAGTGTGATGTTTATATAACAATTTTGTTGAAATTTAGCGCGTCATTGGCATCGCTGACGAGAGAGAGCGGACCCAAAGTGGTGAGGGGAGATCCGGCGAAGCCGTCGGAAACGCCGCGGATCGTGAGCCAGAGCCAGAGCCACGCCAGCCCCACCATTGGCGTCAGCGACAGTTCGCTCAAGTTTACTCATGTCCTCTACAACCTCTCGCCGGCGGGTAACATTTTCCCCCCAATTAACCCTAATTGCAAGCTATTTTAGTTTGAGACGTTAATTTCTGTAGTGTCGTGTATACAGAGCTATACGAGCAGGCCATTAAGTACGAGAAAGGATCCTTCATTACTTCCAGCGGCGCCATAGCCACGCTCTCCGGCGCCAAGACCGGCCGTTCCCCGAAGGACAAACGCGTCGTGAGAGATGAAACGACTGAGGATGATCTTTGGTGGGGAAAGTATGTGCTTACTCTCTCAATGATGCACCCTGTTTTTTCTTTCTTTTTTAATCTGTAATCTTTAATAATCTCGCCGTATATGAAAATTAAAATTGGATTTTTGTAGGGGTTCTCCAAATATTGAGATGGACGAGCACACTTTCATGGTTAACAGAGAAAGAGCTGTGGATTACTTGAACTCCTTGGACAAGGTATATATTGAATTATTGATGGCCGTGCTCAAAATTAACTGTAGCATGTTAACACACCAGTTCATTTCTAAAGATCATTTTCTTTTTAACATTCAAATAGTGTAATTTGATTCACTATTTTGATGAATTGTGTTCCTTCATCTTCATTATCTTGTGTTATGTGCTTATGTGAATTTGTTGTTATCTATATATTTCTGAGAATGAAAATCTGAAACCATCCGTGGCAATATTGTTTTTTTGTTGTTTTTGGTCCTTTATGGCCATACCTTTGTGATTCTTTGAATGGTGCAAGTTTGGCCTTTTCCATCTTTTGTCCTAATTTCGATGTCCTTATCTATTAGATCTAACCAACTATTTGTAATTTGAAATGTCGATTTCTGTTGTTTTATTCTGAATTTGGAACTTTTAAGTTGATTGCTTTGAAGAAAAGTTACCATAAACAAGAGTTATCATGTTAAACCCGATGATTAAACTCCAGGTGCTTGTTTGTTTTAGGTGTTTGTTAACGATCAATTCCTGAACTGGGACCCTCAGCATCGCATCAAAGTCCGGATCGTCTCGGCCAGGGCGTACCATTCTCTGTTCATGCATAACATGTAAGCTCTTGTTCCAAATTGTGTAATAACAAGTCATATAAGTTTTCTTAAGTTGAAAATGAAAGAAAAATGGTCATAACGAACGACAGGTGTATCCGGCCAACTCCCGAGGAGCTGGAGAACTTCGGTACTCCCGACTTCACGATCTACAATGCGGGTCAGTTCCCGTGCAACCGGTACACCCACTACATGACATCCTCTACCAGCATAGACCTAAACCTGGGGAGACGTGAAATGGTCATACTCGGCACTCAGTATGCTGGTGAGATGAAGAAGGGCCTTTTTAGCGTCATGCACTACCTAATGCCCAAGCGCCAGATCCTATCCCTCCACTCTGGCTGCAACATGGGCAAAAACGGGGACGTTGCTCTTTTCTTTGGATTATCTGGTGAGAGGCTTCTCATCTCATCACTATCAGCCACTATTTTCTTTTCATTTTATTATTGTTTGTTGCTTTGGATATTGAATGAGCTGGAGTTATTTCGTTAGGCACTGGGAAGACCACATTGTCTACCGATCACAACCGGTTCTTGATTGGAGATGACGAGCACTGCTGGAGCGAAAATGGTGTTTCGAACATTGAGGGCGGATGTTATGCCAAGTGCATTGATTTGTCTAGGGAGAAAGAGCCTGATATTTGGAACGCCATAAAGTTCGGGACCGGTAATTCTCTATCTTTCTCTCTTTTTTCACCCCAATGCTGCTGGTGTGACTTTCATAATTCTACTCATTTTAATTAATTTTTTTGTTTCTGGTAGTGTTGGAGAATGTGGTGTTTGATGAGCACACAAGAGAAGTGGACTACTCGGATAAATCCGTCACAGGTAATTAATTTTGTCCATTTAATCGATAAGTTCACACACTTTAACCTTTTGGAGTAAATTTTTGCTCGGTCTAATTTGTGTACCGTCTTTTTTCCCCTCCAGAGAACACTCGAGCGGCCTATCCGATTGAATACATCCCCAATGCGAAGATCCCATGTGTGGGCCCACACCCGAAGAATGTGATTCTACTGGCTTGTGATGCTTTTGGAGTGCTCCCGCCTGTGAGCAAGCTGAGTCTTGCACAGACAATGTACCACTTCATCAGTGGCTACACTGCTCTGGTACGCATTTTGTCTTTGTTTAAGATTTACAAGGCTCGACCTGAGCGGAAAATGTGAAATTGCATCGATTTATTTTTTTTTTGTTATTAAATTTAAATGATTGGAACTACAGGTTGCTGGTACGGAGGATGGAATTAAGGAGCCACAAGCGACGTTCTCGGCTTGCTTTGGGGCAGCCTTTATAATGTTGCATCCCACAAAATATGCAGCCATGTTGGCTGCTAAGATGCAAAAGCACGGTGCCACTGGGTGGCTAGTCAACACCGGCTGGTCTGGTGGAAGGTTTGTTTTCGGATTTTTTTGAAGTATTTAGTAGTAACCATTTATTTCTCTTCGAAAAGAATTACTGAAACTGATGATACCTATTGTTCTTTTTCGGCAGGTATGGGTCCGGGAGCCGCATCAAGCTGGCATACACTAGGAAAATAATTGATGCTATTCACTCGGGCAGCCTATTAAACGCAAAATATAAGAAGACTGAGGTGTTCGGGCTCGAGATCCCGACTGAGGTTGAGGGTGTGCCTTCTGAAATATTGGAACCTTCCAACACCGTGAGTTCTCCCCCATTTATACATTCTTTTTATGGTTATTTTTTTTTTTAAAAACATTTTCACCTTCTCTTTTCTATTTGTGATGGTGGTGTGGTTTCGGTAAAATATGCAGTGGTCGGATAAGAATGCTTACACGGAGACGCTGCTGAAACTGGCCGGGCTGTTCAAGAACAACTTTGAAGGCTTCGTGGCTCACAAGATTGGAAAGGACGACAAGTTGACTGATGAAATCCTTGCAGCTGGTCCGGTTTTCTGATCGGCCACCGGAAAGAACGAATAAAAGAATATGTGCTCATTCCACGCCTAAAGTCTCTTTCTTTAAGTTATTAAACGAAAAAAGAGATGCTCTTTATTTCATAGCAAGTTGTACTGATGATAGATATGACAAAAGGCTTCAGTGATTTGCCTAAATTTTGAGGCATCGATGCAAGTAATTTTATGCAATTTAGTTGGATAAAAGGCTAGCCTGTCTTTATAGTACCTTTATTCTAATTATCTCTACAAGTAATGTAAGGTGGAACTATTGACAACCAACAACTTTAAAGAATAGTACAATTGTTAGTGCACAAGCTTATATTCAAATTTCATATAACAAGTGTATAATAAACAATACCTAAGAGGCAAACAAGAAACTTTGGGGGTGATTGTTTACAAAATATTTCACCTAAAAAAATTTTAACTCAAAATCTAACTCAATTTTAACTCAACCCCATTATCTTTAATATTATTCATATAATTAAAAAATACAAACCAAACATTCTTACACATTACATCAATTTTAATTCACTATTTATCCACTCGCATAATTTTAACTACCAATCATTTCAAATCATTTATCTCATACTTTATATCAAATCAATTTTAATCATTTTATTTTAAATATTATTTTAATATATTTTTTTAAATCCCACTAATAATTAACCACACCACTTTTTCAACTTTAACCATAGTTAACCAAAATGAAATACTTTAGATGAAATTTTTTATAAACAATCATGCCTGACTTCTATAGTAGAGTTGAGCTGTTGATTTATTTTGATAAAGTGTTTGTCTTATAATCACCTGGATCAAAATTTTAATCTTGAGGGGATTCCTAGGTCTATTCCCCCTGATCTTAATGTTGAACTGATTCGAAAATGATGCAGGATTATTATTATTATTATTATTATTATTATTATTATTATTATTATTATTATTATTATTATTATTATTATTATTATTATTATTATTATTATTAAATAATGATTAGCTTGGGAAATAAGCTAAGTTTAGTGTTAGAGCCTTATTTAAAGGGTTGTTATGCTTTGTTATTGGGATAGTTGAATATGAAATAAGAATTGATTGAGTTTGTGAGTTTTACGTGTTTTACGAGAGAGTATCTCGTTTACTCGTTTTATCCTTCCCACTCGTACGCTTTCCCTACATCAGTTGGTATCAGCAGTCAGTACGATTCGCGATGTCGCCGGGACGACAAGATGCCGCAAACAAACAACGTGATGCAACCTTCAACGATCGGTTTCAACAGATTGACTACCGATTTCAAAAGTTGAACGTGCGTTCCACGGATTGGTTTGTCGATCTTTCGACGGGGATCGAGAATTTGCATTTGATGCTTAACAGCGTGGTTGTTTTGGAATTGCAAACGAACCGCGATGAGGCTGTGGGCCGTGGCTTTCGCGGGGGAGACAAAGGCGGTTGTGGGGGACATTGCCATGTCGGGGCGCCTCGGCAGCGGTCCCCGCCACCTCTGAACGGCTTCGTGGACGGCGACGATCAACGCAGCGACATGGGCTGGCGCGAGGAGGCAACCTTAGCTGGCGGATATCGTGCCCTACGCGATTGGGGATTTGATCACGAATATGGTCAATGGGAGGGCCCGTTTCGCGTTCACATCCCTGAATTCGACAGTGAGCAAGTCGACAGGCCATTGTACGACGGTCCTCCTATTTTCGATGAGGAGCCTCCGGTGACGGAGCCATATCTTTGCGACAATATGGGTCCCGCCTGGGACGTTGCAGAAGTTGAGCCTTTGACGGAGATGTCGTTGTTCAAACCTGATTTTTGGAGTATCTTGGCCGACGATAGTTTTTCAGAGCCGAAACCGAGGCTCAATAACTGGTGGGCCATTTTTTGATTGTATATCCCGCAGTCTCTCAACACCAGGATGCTTGGTTGCAGTTATGGATTGGAGCTCGGTGAACGTTGTGTGATGATTGGTGCTCCTTCCGCTGTGTGGGTTATGCGTATGGAGATGTGTACGCGTGCCTTTACAGCAGTTCGACCCTTGCTCAAGCTTATGTTTCGCATTGGAGTTGTTGGGCAATCTTCGTACTTCGTGTTTGATCGGGGCAAAGGCCAGACTATTTTTGTCTTACGAACGTCTCCAACGATAATGGATCGGATTCGAGGGCGAATCCTGCTCAACCGGGGGAGAATGATGCATGATTATTATTATTATTATTATTATTATTATTATTATTATTATTATTATTATTATTATTATTATTATTATTATTATTAAATAATGATTAACTTGGGAAATAAGCTAAGTTTAGGGTTAGAGCCTTATTTAAAGGGTTGTTATGCTTTGTTATTGGGATAGTTGAATATGAAATAAGAATTGATTGAGTTTGTGAGTTTTACGTGTTTTACGAGAGAGTATCTCGTTTACTCGTTTTATTCTTCCCACTCGTACGCTTTCCCTACATCAGAAAAGTTGATGAAGAGGAAATTCGAACGGCTATTTTTGAAATGTCTAAGGATAAAACTCCTAGTGGTGACAATTTTACTGCCTTATTTTTCAGCATTCATGGTCTATTATCAAATTTCATGTGTGTTTAAATGTGGATAATTTCTTTTATGTTGGTAAAATGCCTAGGAGTTTAAACCATTATATGATTACCCTGATTCCCAAGAAAAAAAATCCTTCCAAAATAGAGATTCTTGACAATGTTATAATTGCTAATGAGTGCATTCATTATCTAGATAGCAAAAGAAAAGGTAAAGTGAATTACATGGCTTTAAAACTTGATATGACAAAGGCATATGAAAGAGTTTAGTGCGCTTTTGTAGCTGGAATGTGTAGGCAACTGGGTTTCTGTGGGACATTTATTTCCTAGATTCTTGCATGTGTGTGTTTCACTTTTTTTTTTTTTTTTTTTTTTTNNNTTTTTTTTTTTTTTTTTTCCAAACATGAGAACTTAAATTAAAAACTCAAACAAATGTACATGAAACGAGCAATCAACTGATTACAACTCTGAACAAAGCAAATTGATAGGTCGAAAAATGTGCATATTTTATATGTTTAATAGGTGTATTTTTATACGCTTAATTTATTCGCACATTTATATTTTTCGACTTATTTATTATTTGGATGGATACATACACATTGATATTTTTGTATTTATTTTCAGCTCATTAGAGTATTTTATTGACCGTGCGTCGCGACGCGGCAAATTTAAATTTATAATATTACCTTGCCTAACCTCTACTAACTAGTAGTAGCGGCGAGTAAGGGTCGATCCCACGAGGAGCAGGAATTAAGTCGTGACAATTTTCGTATTAATCGAACTAAATCTAAGAAATCAATAAAAAGAGGGGATTAGATTGATAAAAATAAAAATAATAAAATAAAAATAAATTAAATAAAATAAGAGAAGTCCAGTTTTCAGTTCAGTTATCACCCAATCTAAATTTACCGTTAATCAATTTCGACGCTTTCTTTAAATTGCTGATGAATTACCAACCCTAGCTAACAATAAGCTCTGTTAACCGAATTTTCCCTTACCAATTATTTAATCAAAATAGGCTCTTCGACTAAACCTAACTAGTGGACAACCTAGAATAAGCTCTCTAGATTCAATACACTAGCAGCATTAATTCCTAGGAAAATAGATCAGTCTAAGCAATGGACGCATAAGCTCGGACCATTTAACTTATGCTCATGTTACCCTAGAGATGCACGACCTCTAGTTTACTACTAACGAAACGAGACAATAACAATTACGGATTAAAGCCCTGAATCTAGCAATTAAACTATGAATATTTAACGTAGTTGGCCAGACTAAATCAAACACCATAATTCATAAACAATAAACACAGATAACATGAATCAACTCATCAACAAAATAAATACGGCGTCTAGATTAATCAACGATAAACAAAGATCCTTCAATTCATAGACAAATCGAAGTTAGGGTTCAAACATCCCCTAAAACCGGATAAAAATCTAGCCTAGCATACTAATAAAAATAAATAAAAAGATAAAAGAGAGAAAACAAATTTCTCCCTCGTGTGCGGCTTCCCTCCGCGTGTGTAGCCTTCTTCCTCGGTCCGTGCGTGGTGCTCTTTTTCCCGTGTCTCTGAACGCTGTCTTTTTTCCTTTCTGCGTGGGTTTTTTTGTTTTTCGTGCGTCAAATTCAGTCCCCCAGCAAATAAGTCCACAAAACAATGTCCCAGTCTCCCAAGAAATTCGAACTCTTTGATTAATCTCTTGCCAAAAAGAAATTCCCTCAATTGTCTTTCCAAACAATTAATTACCCCAACAAAAATCCTGGCTGCTTTTCTTTTTGTAAATGTTCTAAACTTGGGTTGAGATTTTGGGCCCAGAGTGGGTTAATAATCAACGTTGGGCCTGAACTTTTATTGAAATTCAAGCTGATATCGGCGGAGGCGATAATTGATCACGTGAACTTCCGTCTCATGCTTTGCGTCCATAATATACTCTAATGAGCTGAAAATAAATACAAAAATATCAATGTGTATGTATCCATCCAAATAATAAATAAGCCAAAAAAATATAAATGTGCGAATAAATTGTGTGTATAAAAATACACTATTAAATATATAAAACGCACACAATTTTCGACTTATCAAATCTCCCCAAACTTAAACCGTTGCTTGTCCCCAAGCAACTTAGGACTAGAAGCACATGGATGGATAGTAACAAGTACGTGGAATTTTAACTCAGGTCCTCACACATCTCACATAAATGCATAGCTACAACTTCTCAAATTAATAACTCCGGACTCGAAATGAATCATCTTTAGAACGCCAACAATCAAATATCAATTTAGTGAATCACCACAGTTCATCAATCTCTTTACCGAGTATACCAATCATGCAACTAATGACACCCCTTTCTTTGTCAACCGGTTTGGTTCCTATTCACTTCTAGCCAGAAATCAAACGTCTCAGTTTTTTTTTTTCTTTTCTTTTTTTTTTCTTTTTTTTCTCTTTTTTTTTTTGGGAACGGCA